CGCGCGGGCGCCGCCCCGCTCTTCCCTCGCCGAGCGAGGGAGGGCGGGCGTCGAAGAGGAAAGAGAAGGGAAAGGGGGCGGGAGGAGAAGGAGGGGCGGCACCCGAGTCACGTGACCCGGGGCAGCCCGGAAAGCTCCGAGGAGGAGCCTGGCGCCGCCATTTTCCTGCAGCTGCCTGTCCCTCTTACCCTGCCCGGCTCCAGCTGACCAGGGAAGGGGTGGGCTGAGCTGAGGCGGGGGCCGGGGAGTGCCCGACACCGTGCCTGACCCCGCGGGTGACAAGAGCCGGTTCTTTCCGGGCTGGGTGGCAGCGAGCGGCCCTGAGCCCCGCCCCAGGCCGGCAGGCGGAGAAGGAGCCGGTGGGGGTAGGGGGTGCGGTGGGGGGGTGGGGGTCCTCCGGCGCTTGGGGGTCCCAGTCCCCGCCGGCTGCCGAGCGGAAGGGGTGGCGGAGGAGCCGCAGAGATGTCCGGCCAGAGCTTGACGGACCGAATCACCGCCGCCCAGCACAGTGTCACCGGCTCCGCCGTATCCAAGACAGTATGCAAGGCCACGACCCACGAGATCATGGGGCCCAAGAAAAAGCACCTGGACTGTGAGTGAAGCCGATCGCGGCCCCCGCGACCCGAATCCTTCCTCCCTTCAGCTAGCTCTTCCCTCCCTGCGTCTTATCTGGCACGGCGGGTCCTGTGTTCGTCCGAGCTGTGTTCTTTTTGCTTCCATCACACCTGCCTTCACGGCTTCCGTTCCCTGTCTGAAAATCCCTGACAAGCCACTCCCCTCCAGGCTCCTAGGGGACCCTCGCTGCCCTGCCCGGTGCGCCGCGATACCCCATCACACCCGACCAACTTGCCTCTCCACCTAGCTCCTCACGTCCCGGCCTCCTCTATCTACCGCAGCCTTCTGCTCTTTCATCCCATCCGTCCCGGGCAGCCTAGTCGCCCTCTCCTGAACGTCTCCCCGCTTGCTCCCGGTCTCACCAACCTATTGTTTCCCCATTAGCGTTCTTCGGGTTTCCGTTAACACCGGGTTCGGTGGACCGGGATCCCTGTTTCTCCGCGGCCCTGAGGGCTGCCTCCCTTGAAGTGATTCCCACTTCCTTTGCCCCACTAGCCTCTTCTGCCCCTTCCCTTCCCTTCCCAGGTTTCTCCTCCACCTTTCCTCCCCCGCTTGAGTTACTTTTCTTTGCCTCTGTAGTTTCAGTTAAGTTCCTTCATCTCATATTAAATATCGTACTCAATACCCGACTTTTATCCCAGACTACTTTTTTCGTGGGAGCGAAAGTAAAGCTTTCGTTGGTTTAGGGAAAGCTTTGTGGAACGTTGGGATTTTTAGTCGCCTCTAGTGGAATTTGATTGTATTTCCACGCTTTTGACGGAAGTAAGTTGTGAATGTCAGGCCCCCCGACCCCCGGCTTTTTTTCTCATAGGGATATGGAGAAAGGTTTGCTAATTTTGGTATCAGTTCCTAGAACTGTTAAACCTGGCGGTTTGAATTTAGAAGCTTGAGCGAAGCGTAGATTATTGGAATTCAAAATGGATTAATCAAACCTACAAATAAAATACATTTAAAAAAACTGGTGAAAAGATATTTGATGATGCTTGAGTTTGGAATCCGCTTTAATTTGTGCTGGTTGTCTTTGGGGGGACTAGCTTTTCTTACATGGCATATTACACCATTCACTAACTTATATACAATTCCTGGAGCTAACTCCTCCCAACTTTTTCCAAACCTGGAAGCCACCTGTAATAGTCTCCTTTTTCATTCCACTCCTTTACCTCAAGGTACAAAGCTCAGTGGATTACTCAAGCTTTGACTCAATGGAGCTTGGACCTGAAACTTTTCAGGGAAACAGAGGGACATAGGCATAGTAATAAATTCCTTTTTTAAATGGCTATTGGACACATAGCCTGACTTTCATCCTACATGAAAGTTACTTTGCTTTACTGTTTGAAGCAAGAGTGAGCATGTCCTGAAAGGGAATTCACTGATGGGAGTCCTGTTTTGATTTCTTCTTTGGATGTTGGCCGTAAGGTTTGCAGTTTTAAAAAAAAATGTACAAAATGTGAATTCTTCCAAGGTACTTTGCTCATGAAGTACTGTTAGAACAAGTTATTGCTACAGACAAACCCATTATTCATTGTGACTTACTCCTTGTGGAAAAGTTTAAAAAAAACATCATTGCTCCTTGGTTCTTCTCTCAGATGTGCGGATCATACAGGCTGCTTATTAAATATCAATCCTTGACTGTTTAGAGAATACAGAATATATTTAAATGATGACACTTTAATAAACGGAAATTCTTTAAAATACATTAAGTGCTTTTTTGATTATCTGATATTTGGAGTAGACATTTCTACTGTTTACTTCTTTTCGGATGACTACTTGGCTTGCTCTACCTAATCAATGGTTTGCCCTAACACTGTTAATTCTTTTGTGAGGTTGATTTTTGTTTGTTTTTGGTGTTGAGGGGTGAGTGAAGAGACTGCTTGTGACTTTGTGAACTGTTATCCTCTTCTCTCAGTTTAAATGATAAATCATAGCAAGAATGAATAGCGCTTTTAAAAGTCCTTTTTAAAGGTTTTTGTCTTACTTCAGATGTTGCAGTTCTAACACATTGTGGGAAAGGTTAGAAAATAGGCTAGGTACGTTTAGGAGAGTGGTACTTGATTGTGGTTTCTAAATGTTAGCCTTTTCTCTTGTAATGGAAGCTACTGCAGATATGAACTGGGATTAGGTTTGGTATGCATAATCTCACATTTGTAGTTCTTTTTATTTTCCACTGCTGTGTTTATGAATTCCCTATTCTTTAGAACTTGAATATTTCTGGTAATTTAAAAAAAATCTGTAAATAAGGAGCCACTACTCTATTTCATTTAAATGAAGTTTTTTAAATACAGTGATACCATTTTCGCTGTATTATTTAAAATATCCTTGTAACCAGTTCCACTAATGACATAAATTTAAGTTTGACCAATGAGTGGTTTTTCTAAACACCTTCTTCCCCCGCACACTTTGACATACTTTGAGAAAACTGAAAAGGCTTTCACAAACAGTTCTGATTCTTGACACCATGAACTCTTAAGGCTTTAATGTAGAGATAATTTTTCCTCTTTTAGAAATTTTTCTTTCTAGTGAATGCTTAGTTCTGTTGCATCTTTTAATGTCTTAAAAAACTGTTGACTAATTAGTTGACGCTAATGAAAATGATTTCATTTTTTAAATGTTAGTATTTAACAGAAAAATATGCTTAGTACTGTTTTTTCTTTCCTATAAGCCTTTAGAGTGTAGAGGTGATTTCTGTGTACTTCACCAAGGTCTTTCCATATTAGGAAATGATTATTGTTGACCCATGAATTATTGCTTAATTCATACTACAGTGTATACTTGTTTAAGAAAGCTTTTGCTTTGCTTATAGGTGTCAGTAGATAATAATGTTAACTAGTGTCCCTAGTGTGAAAAGGGTTGTCAAACTTGAAACATATTTGTAAAAAATAAACATGATTTGCATTTAAATCCAGATGTCTAATAGTATAATAAAGATAGAAGAATAGCAGCCCTTGTATTTGAAGGACTTCAATTTGCCAGGCACTTAACCATTATCTAATGTAATCCTCTTTCATAGCTATGGGAGAGTAAAGTCATATGCATAGAAAGTAGTCTCTAACTCCATTTAAAGAGGTCAGAGAATGCTTAAAACATTAATAATTACAGTATAGACAGAACTCAGTTTTAAAATTTATAAATTCTTAATTTAAAAACGTTCTTACCTGATTTCACAACCTTTACTCTTGTTTTTTAGACAAGAATATTTTCCTTTTTTCTATACTTGTTTAATTTACTGTCCTTGGGCATTTATGTTGTGACATGTTTCACAGAAATGTAATATGTTAATGTCTCTAATGTCTTCACTTTTTTATCCACATTTTCCCCAGTTAATTTCCAGGGATACTTCATTCCACCCACCATCTGCCCTACATTCTGTACAACAAAATCAAAATCATGTTCTTATTAAGCATCCATTATAAGCACATCTCTAACGTGGATAGAGTGTGGGTATTTGTGTGTTGTGTACTGGATCTAGACTCTGCCTAATTTTAATTGTGGCAACATTTTTTTTAAGTAAGAATTTGTGAATGTTTTGAATATGTGGATGATGGGATTTGTATTTGGGTTAGTGATTTGTATGACAATTGGAAATATATATAGAACACTGAAATGTACCTGAAATAATTATCTTTTTAAGGGAATTACTGATTTTTTCAGATTGAAGTATAGTTGATTTACAGTGTTAATGTTTCTGGTGTACAACATAGTGATTCAGTTATATACATATATATTCTTTTTCACATTCTTTTTATAACAGGTTATTACAAGCTTTTGAATATAGTTCCCTGTGCTAACAATAGGACCTTGTTTATCTATTTTGTACATAGTAGTTTGTATCTGCTACTCCCAGACTCCTAATTTATCCCTCCTCCCTTTCTCCTTTGGTAACCATTAGTTAATTTTTTTTATGTCTGTGAGTCTCTGCTTTGTAAATAAGTTCATTTGTGTCATTTTTTTTGGTTCCACATGGAAGTGCTACCATGATATTTGTCTGACTTTCTTTACTTAGTATGATAATTTCTAGGTCCATCCATGTTGCTGCAAATGGCATTATTTCATTCTTTTTTATGGCTGAGTGGTACTCCATTGTGTGTGTGTATACACACCCTAATTTCTTTAGTCATCCATTCATGGACATTCAGGCTGCTCGGTATCACTAAGTATCAGAGAAATGCAAATCAAAACTACAATGAGGTATCACCTCACACCAGTCAGAATGGCCATCAGTAAAAAGTGCACAACTGGTAAATGCTGGAGAGGGTGTGGATAGAAGGGAACCTCCTACACTGTTGGTGGGAATGTCATTTGGTGCAGCTGCTATGGAAAACAGTATGGACATTCCTTAAAAACTAAAAATAGATTTACCATATGATCCAGCAATCTAACTCCTGAACATATATCTGGAGGAAACTCCAATTTGAAAAGATGCATGCACCCCGATGCTCATAGCAGCACTGTTTACAAATTATTGATTTTTAACATCTTAGTTAATGCTAGCCAATGAATGCTTAGTTTGCATGTTGTCAAAAAGGGGCCTGGTAACTGGGATCTGATTTGCCAGAAGGTGCATGTGAGGAAGATAATAAGTAGAAGATCTGCCCCTAAATGGCTCTTGTTTAGAAATAGGTAACTGGGGCTTTCCAAATGGGTCTTGTTTTAAAGAGACAATTATTTCATGGTTATGTATGGGCTTACTGTTCTTTCCCATAAGAATTAACCATATGGTTTGTATTTTCATTTGGTTATTTGACCTATTCTGTTGTGAAATACAAAAAATGGTAATTGAGTCATTGAAGTGATAATTATAAGATTTGACTACTTATGTCAAATGCCAGTGGTATATGGTAGAACTCCACAAATGTTAAGTTTTTTCCTCTTTGATATATTTAGTTATGTTTCTGAATAGGTTGTATTTTAAAAGAGAAACTGAAGAGAATTTGACATACAGCCATTTTGTTAGCCACTTTATTTGTAATTAGCAAGTCAGTTCTAATATATCTTTATAAAATAATTAAGCTTGATTGGTGGACTTGTTATTTTAAGAAATACTATATAGACGTTAGTCTTTTTTTTTTATCCTTGTAGCAATGCTTCTGAATAATTTTCAAAGATGTCTTAGAATTTAATTTCTGCAGAAAAGTGAAACTTCGTTATGAAGTGACTTTTTC